CACCTGAGCTGCAGGAACCTTGCCCTGAGAAGGGCCAGCAAAAGCCACCAAAGCTTTTAAAAACCTCAACTCCAGGTTGGTGAGCACTTGAAAAGCCCAGCCTTCAGTATTTTTCTGAAGTCAGCCTCTTGCCTTCCCTTCCCCTCTAAAAGCCACAGGCCAAAGCACAGCTTTAGCTGCAGCACAAAGTCAGAGCACGGCAGTTTACGTGGCTGCTGAAGCCCAGACTATTTCAGATAAAAGCTGACTCTTAATGCACCACTTGTCTTTGGAGACAAGGAAAACAGAGGTGTCCTGGGCACCCTGGGGCTAAATTGTATCCTTCCTTAACCAGTAAAGACAGAACCAACTGGACTGCAACAAAACCGTCCTTGTGGGACAGAATAATTTATCCAAAGTCAGCAGGGTCAGCCTTTGGCATCATTAACCCACCCCAGTGTGCTGCCAGGCAGGGAGAGCAGGGATTTGTTTGTCCTGTTACAGCAGGAGAGGGCAAAGCAAAGAGCATGGCACAAACACAGTGTGAGCAGCTTCAGAAATCCCAGAATCTTGGAATGGTCTGACCTGAAGGGACCTAAATCCCGTCCAGTGCCACAATTTCACTGTCCCAGGGTGCCCCAAGCCCCATTCAGCCTGGCCTTGGGCACTGCCAGGGATCCAGGGGCAGCCACAGCTGCTCTGGGCACCCTGTGCCAGGGCCCCCCACCCTCCCAGGGAACAATTCCTGATTCCCAATATCCCATCCAGCCCTGCCCTCTGGAGCCTCCTCAGCTCTCAGGGCTTTGGGCTCACTGCTCCTGTTCCATTCCTGCCCCATTGAGGGAAGTGCGTCAGAGCCAACCTGGGGCTGCTGAACAACCCCATGACATGCCAGGGCTGATGGAGGTGGCTGGCACTCAGACACATCATGTCTGAGCTCCAAATAGCTCAGGCAGGCAGTGAACAATCCCTCTCCCAGCTGCCAGCATCCAGCAGGATGGTTGGCTTCCCTCAGACCATCGGCGTCAACAAAACATTTGGCAGGTCCAGGAGCAGCTGTGACTAATGATGGCACCAACCCCAGCAGAGCAGAGCCATGGTCAGCCCTGAGTCATGAACAGCCTGACTGCAAGGGACCACAGGGATCACCCAGTGCAGCCCTGGCCCTGCACAGACACCCCAGCAACCCCACCCTGGGCATCCCTGGAGCTGCTGGAGCTCTGGCAGCCTCAGGGCTGTGCCCATTCCCTGGGCACCCTGGGCAGTGCCAGCATCTCTTTCCCTGAGATCCAGCCTGAGCCTGTCCTGGCACACAGAAGGGTGTTTTGGTTTTTTGTTTGTTTTACAGGAAAAGAAAACCCCACTGTGTTTTTCTACTTTCATCTTCCCTATTGAAACAGCAGCTCGAGACTCCCTCTAAAGATCACCAAGGATTTTAATGAGAAGTCAGGAACACTGCAAAGGCTCATGAGTCCTTCACCCTGCACCAAACCCTCCTGGCACCCAGGCCAAGCAAAAGCAACTTTCAGCCCAAAAGGGATTGTGTCAAAAAGTTACAAGCAACTCCAAAAAGGAAATGTGAAACTGAGCTGTACTCACCAAGCACCACATGGAAAGCTTGTTTCTATTTTCAGTTCATTTCTTTTCTTTCTGGCTGCCCGGACACACAGAATGGCTGAAGCACCACCAGGAGCACTGCAAACCCAACCAAGAACCACTGCCAGCCTCTGCCCCAGGGCACTGGCCCTCACCAAAGCCTCAGAGCTGTGCTGCTGCTCCAGGCAGAGCTGGGCACTGATGGAAAGGGAACTGGGATTGTGTTGCCTCTGGCAGGACTTTCAAAAGCAGCTCTTGCTGAGTATCAAGGTATCTTGCTGTTATCAGGGTATCCTGCAAGCAGGCAGCTCCAAGGGCTCTGCAACCCAATGGAGAGGCTAAATTTAGCCAATATCCAATGCCAGGGCTAAAATAAAAACCTTTGCTTGAGCACTGTTCCCTTTACCTCGAGGAAGGTAAAGTGCTTTGATGGTGAATCCACAGTGAGCACTACCATGGTCTGAGGAGATGCTGCTCCAAGGAAAACCTCTGTTATGCAACTGCAGAATCCAAGAACAGCTCTCCCTGACCCACTAATACTCATTTTCTTTCTCTTGGGCTAATTATGCCCTCAGGGATACTCTTGAAAAGACACTGAGCCTGCACCCAAAGAAACCAGTTGGTGCAAAATAAATGAGATAATCTTTTGACTCCACCGCGCTCGTTATTTTAGGGGGAATGATGCTGAGGGAAGAAGGGAATTGTTTTATTTTTGTAGCCACAAAAGCCTTCCTGGTGTGTTATTTACAGGAAAAAATGTTATAGGACATAAAAAAAAAAACCCAATGCAGCTTCTCTTTTTCACAGCTGAGTGACCACTGAAGAATTTGGTGAGCAGCAGAGGAGGGAGAGCTGGGAGAGGCAGCTGGGCTGTGAGAACACAACAGTTTGGAGTCTCTGAAAGTGCAGATTTATGTAAGCAGATCCTACCAGTGGCTCCAATACTGGCACTGCCATGAGCACTGCAGGAAGGGAAAACCTGGACCCACTTATCTGGATAATGAATTCCTGTCCCTGGAATGTCACATGGAAATCAGAGCTCTCTGGGGAGCTTTCTTTGAGTCAAGAGAATTATGGTAGTAAGGAGACCTTCTTTCCAGCACTGCTTTATCTTCCAAATGGCCACTTTGTACAAAAGCACAGTTCCATTCACACCCAAGCCCAAACGAGCAGGGAAAGTATTACAGCGACCTGATGAGGTCTCTATGGTGAGAGAAGTGGACGAGAATCTTAGTTGATGATTAGAAGGCTGGATTTATTGATATATGATACATAATACATTATTACTATACTAAAAAGAATATGAAGAGAAGTTGCAGAGGCTGCTAACTTAAGAATAGAATAGAAAAGAATCTAAAAACAAGAGAGTTCTCTGTCACTGTGTTCTAGAGAGCTTGCCCTGTGATTGGCCCTTAATTGTACACATGGAACATGAACCAATCACAGGTGCATCCTATTGCATTCTACAGCAGCTGATAATCATTGTTTACATTCTCCTTCTGAGACCTCAGCTTCCCAGAAGATGAACAAGTTTCAAAGAAAGAATTTTTATGAAAAAATGTCTGCGACAGGAAAGTGAGACTGAGCCAAGGGGAAATGCTCCAACCACCACACAGAGCACAGGGCCAGCACAGAGCACTGCCCCTATCCCCTGCTGTCTTTAGTAGCAACTGAATAAATGAATAAATAAAAACAAAAGGCTGCCACCTTAAACACAAAACAAAGTCAAAGATAAATTAAATGCAGTCAGATACACTACAAACAAAACCAAAGTAACAGCCACCACAGCACAGCCTTCAGGAGAGAGGCTGAAAAGATGGACTGCTCCAAGGCCTGCACTGGGCCATGAGGAGAAGGCAAAGTCCCTGCCACTCCTCCTGAGCCCCTGGGTCATTTCTCACAGCACACAGTCACACAAGGGCTCTTTGCTGTGCCAAGGCTGATGCCAGCCCAGTGACCAAGGCTGGGCAGAGCAGAGCAGGGCTCAGCCCTGAGAGCAGCATGGCTGGGCTGCACAGCTGGACTGGCCCAGGACATGCCAGCCCTCAGTGACACAGGGACATTGTCAGGAGCTCCAGGAGAGCAGCCCAGGCCAGCCCCATCCCTACAAGTGCTTAATAAACGTGAGGATGTGGCTCTTGAGTCGTGATTTAGTGCTGAACAGGGGGTTGGTGGTTGAATTTGATACTCTTAAACAACTTTTGCAACCTTAACAGTGCCATGATAATGCTGATTGAGCAGCAAGGCAAGCACACTCCACCCCAAGGGAGAAAAGAAGGCAGACTGAACTCCCTGTAGTCTCCATGTGAGCAGCAAAAGGGAGCTCCCACCAGTCTCCTCCTGCCTCTGCCACTCCCAGCTGAGGCTCCTGAACTGCAGGGCTCAGTCTGGCTCTCCTCATGCTGGTCCTTTGTTTTAAAAAAAGACATGAAATTCACTCCAAGTGCTCTCATTGGAGAGCTGCTGATCTTTTTCAGCATCTAGCGGATGGTTAAAATTAGTCTGAACTACTTCCTTTTCTGGGAACAGTGTTTCAGCAACAAATCAGAGTTTGAAACCGAGGTAAAAGCAAGGACTAAGTTGCAAAACAGATGCAAAGCTGATCTTTAAATATTCCCTGACAAACCTACACCGTGGGAGCTGCAGTGTGGGACCGTGGGCACATCTCTCAAGCTACCCCAGCAGGTTCCTCAAACCCTGGGAGCTCCAGGCACTGCAGGAGGAGCTGCCCAGGAGGCAGCAGAGTGTCCTGGGGCATGAGGAAGAGCATTCCCAGCAAGGCAGGGTGATCCTGCCCCTCTGCTCAGCCCAGGTGAGGCACTCTGCAGTGCTGTGCCCACTTCTGGCCTCCACAGCTCAAGAAAGACCAGGAGCTACTGGAGAGGGTCCAGTGCAGGCCACAAGGATGATCTGGGGTCTGGAGCATCTCCCTGGTCAGGAGAGACTGTGGGAGCTGGGCCTGCTCAGTCTGGAGAAAGGAAGGCTGAGAGGAATCCCATCAATCCATCAAATATCCCCAGGGGTACCAGAGGATTGTGCCAGGCTCTGCTCAGTGGTGCCAGTGCCAGGATGAGGAGCAGCAGCCATGAACTAAACCACAACCAACTCCATCTCCACATCAGGAAGAACTTCCCACAGAGTGGCAGAGCTCTAGAACAGCTGCCCAGGGCAGGCTGGATGTCCCTCTATGGCCACCCCCCAAAGCCCCTGGGCCACATTCCTGTGCCACCTGCTCTGGGGGACCCTGCCTTGGTGCTGCTGGACTGGGTGATCTCCAGAGGCCCTTCCAGCCCCAGCCATGCTGTGTGTCCTGTCCTGTCCATGGGTCAGGCCTGCCATGAGGGCCCAGGGCAGCCCCTGCCCCCCCAGAGCCCCTCTGCCTTGCTGTGCCCAAAGGCAGCTCCAGGCTCTGGGCTGTGCCTCACCTTGTTTAGTGAGAGCCTTCCTCAGGGCTGGGGTGATCATCTCTCTCCTCTCAGCTCCAGCAGCTCCCTCCTGCAGCTCCTGCTCTCTCTGTTGGAAGAATCACAGGGAATTAGAGCCAGTTAGAGCCAGGCCTCACCTCAGGCACTGGGGCACAGCCACACACCTGCCGGACTGAACCGAGCCCAGTGCCACACAGCAATTCCTGTTCCCTCTAATCCTGCACCCCATCCTGTCACAGACATCTTTTCATAAAAATCCTTTCTTTAGGATTTTCCCTTCTGGGAAGCTGAGGCCCCAGAAAAAGAATGCAAACAATGGTTGTCTGCTGCTGTGGAATGCAACAGGTGCACCTGGGATTGGCCCATGTTGGATGTGTACAATTAATGGCCAATCCAGGACCGAGCTCTCTCTGGGACAGAATCAGAGAGAGCTCCTTTGTTATTCATTTCCTTTTCTGTTCTTAGCTTAGCTAGCTTCTGAGAACTTTCCTTCTATTCTTTTTAGTACAGTCATAATGTAATATATATCACGAAATAATAAAACAAGCCTTCTGAACATGAGGTCAACATTCTCACTTCTCTCTTCATCCTGCAACCCTTGTGACCACTGTCACACCATCCCTCTGCCCAGCAGTAACGTAGGATGGTAAACTGGAACAGGAACACCCCCAGCACACCAGATTCGTCCCACTGACACAGCAATAAAATTCCCAAGGATATTTTAACAACCAGGCTGTGGAATCTCATCCAAGAGTGACTCCAGTTTTAAGCCCCAATGTTTCATGAGTGCACAACAACCTCACAACAACCTGACCGCTCTGGCTGTTTGTAGGATGGCCCTGGGACAGCCCGTGCACCAAAGGACAAGTCTGGACTCTTCAGATTTTCAGTCTTCGATATTGTTTATTATTCCTTATCTACAAAGTTTTCTCCCAGCCTGACAGAGGTCTGACCAGCAAGGCAGCCAAGGGCACTCTGACCTCCCACTGGGCAGTCGTCTGTTTTTATACTAAAAACTATGGACATCATTTTTACCTTTATTTCCCAATGCCTTTCACCCATATTAACAAGTGCACCTTCACCATGGACCAATCCCAAAGTGCCAACATCACCACAGAAAATGGATGACAAGAAGAAAGAAGAAGGACAAGACACGCCCTGATTCCTCCATCTTGTCTCCATAACCCCCCTGTACCAAAATCCTAAAATCTATATTTCACCCTGTAAATACTTAATTCTTGCACCATTCATTCCCAAGTGATTCTCTTGTGCTCATACAGGTGGCACATCCCGTGCAGGGTCAAAATTCAACCACCAAGCACTTCTGGCAACATTCCAGGATTTCCAAGCCCCCCAAGGGTTATCTCAGCAACTCTGCACATCAGGAGTGATGTGCTCAGTTCCCACAATAACCAAACCAGGGTGTGCCTGCAGTGCCACTCCCAGCACTTCCCACAGCAGAGGAGTCCTGGAGCAGCAGCACCAAAATTCAGCCACTGCAAGGCCTGCAGGGAAAGGCTGCTCCCCTCCAGAGGGAAGGGAAGGGAAGGTTCCGGGAAGGGAAGGTTCCGGGAAGGGAAGGGAAGGTTCCGGGAAGGTTCCGGGAAGGGAAGGGGAAGGGGAAGGGGAAAGGGAAAGGGAAGGGGAAAGGGAAAGGGAAAGGGAAAGGGAAAGGGAAAGGGAAGGGGAAAGGGAAAGGAAGCTGCTTCCACACACAGATAACCCTGGGCAGGAGCTCCAGGCACTGGGATAAAGTCATGGGCAGGAGAAGCAAACCCTGGCACGTAACAAGTGTGACTCCCCTGCTGTGTGAGTGTCACTGCTGAGACTTTATGGGTATTTATTGTCTCATGTCTGCACAAAGAAGCATCAAAGCAGAAATAATTACTTGGATATTTCATGCAACTTGTAATCTGTCAGTCCTTTATGGCTTTCATTGAAGGAGTTATGGATAAACAACAAAAACCAGCAGAGGACATTTTGTCTTGACAATACTGAGGCTATTTCACATCCAAGCCTCTTTTGTGCCAAAGCCATGGAAAAGTTAATGGAAATGCTTTCAGTTTGAGTCTCCTCACCAACTGTCAGCATCACTAAGGAAACCAGTGCTCCTGACTTGCCAAACTGCTCTTCACAAACAGGGAGAGGAGGCTGCCTGCTCCTGCACATGAACAGACTGCTTCTGCACCTGAGCAACAGCTCAGAAAATAAAAGGTGCCTCCAAAGAAAAACACATCTGAATATTAAAACCCACACACAGAGAAGTTCAAGGACAAAACACAGTTCCTAATAAACACTTGAGAAGGAAATAGGAGAGTAAAACATTCAGGGACAGAGATTATTACCTTCCCTACTCATTCTGGATCTAACTGCCCACAGCCTCAGGGATGTTGTTCAGAAATGTATTTCTCAACAACCAGTACAACATGGTCCTTTCTGAAGGAAAAAGCTGCATCCACCATCTACTCCCTTCCATTCAGCCTCCTGAGCCTTTAGGCAGGACTTCATTGGTTTCTGTAACACATCAAAACTCCCCTGGAAGCCTACATCTAATAATTAATTGCCATTTAGTGGGTTTTAAAGCTCATTTCTTGAGCCTTGATCTTAATTTATCAGCAAGACTCTTCAACGGTAAAATATTAATATTGCTGGGAAAGCTTCATGCATAAGGAAGGAAGGAGACAATAGATAAAAAACTTCATCTTCCAAGTGTTAAATAAAGAGCTTGTCCTGCCACAAGCCATCAATTAACCCAGGCCATAGGCAAGGCCCTGCCTTAGCACAGACTGAGACCTGGGCTAGAGGAAGGAAGGGGAGTGGAACTCAAGGAGTTTTAGGGTCCCTTCCCACCCAAATCACTCCCTGATGCTGTGATTTGGGAGCCCCTTGACATCCTGAGCAGGATTTAAACATTTAAACCTCCTGGCCTGTGCTTCACCATCTCAGGAGAACTAAACCTCCACTACGGAGCACATCCTCATGTTAAAAATGCAGCCATTGAATTAATTACAAATGAGAGACCCCATCCAAGAAAGCCTCCAAACACAAAGTCCTTCTGCATGGAAAACATTTCCATTTCTACCTCCCTGCCACTGCAGCACCTCAACAGAACAACATCCAATTCCCTCCTGGCAAGGCAGAAATACAGTTCAATTATCATTTTCCCCTCACAGAGAGGATCACAATTGTCCTGCCCACACCCTGATGTGAGAGCCTGTACACAAAACCACGCCTTGTTTTTCCCTGCCCTGCAATACCTGACCTGCTCACTTTGCCAGGGATTGGTGCACGTACTCCTGGTGGGAAATGGAATTCACTGCACAGGGATTTCCACTTATTTGCTTAATAAACCTTTCAGATCTGTTATTGAGGGTTGGAGAGGAGGGGAAAAAGTTAACTTTGCACAGAGGAAACTTCTCCAGTTGTGGTGATTTAGTAGAGAGCCCTGCAGTAAATCCAAGGCAAATCACTGTCTTTCCATAACAAATCAAGCAAGCAGTGACAAGAGGCTGCTTTTCAGGCCCTTGAAATATTCCACTGCCAAAAATTGGAGGTGCAGCTCACAAAGGAGCAGGCCAGAGATAAGGAAAACCTCTGGATACCCCCTGATTCCTTGGAAGGCTCAGCTCAGCTCCACTGCAGGCTGGAGGGGTTTGGTTGTGAATAAAGGCAGCTGAAGCTCAGCTGTGATCCCCTGCTCTGCAGCTGAAGGGAAAAGGAATCCCTTCCCTTTCCCTCTCACAGGGAGCACAACAGGCAGAGGCAGCACAGTCCCAAGGCAAGGAAAGCACAAATCCATGGACCCTGACAAAAGTGAGGGCCTCAGCATTCCCTGCCCCAGGTTCAAATCCCAGTGTTTCAAAGGGCTTCCTCCAAATCTGCCTTCCAAACTCAGAGGTGACCACCAGGATGTGCCACTGCCACTTGTCCTCCTCTCTGAAGTGCCCCCTCCAGCTCTGGCCCCTCAGCCTGGGAAGGACCTTGGGACACTGAGCACATCCAGAGGGGAGAACGAGGCTGGAGAGGGAACACAAACCCTGTGAGGAACCCCTGAGGGAGCTGGGGGTGCTCAGCCTGCAGAAAAGGAGACTCAGGGCTGCCCCCATCACTCTCACAGCTCCTGAAATGTGCCTGTGCTCAGCTGGGGCTGGGCTCTGTCTGCAGCAGCACTGACACAACCAGAGCACACAGCCTCAGGCTGCACCAAGGGAAATACAGGTTGGATATTAGGAGAAAGTGTTTTACAGAAAGGTGATAAAGTTCTGGAATGGCTGCCCGGGGAGGTGGTGGAGTCCCCATCCCTGGGTGTGTTTAACAAAGCCTGGATGTGGCACTGGGTGCCAGGGCTTAGTTCAGGTGTTGGGGCTGGGTTGGACTTGATGATCTTGAAGGTCTCTTCCAACCTGGTCATTCTGTGAATTCTGTGATTTTCCAGGATGCCCAGGTGCCCAACAGCTCCCCATGTTTCCCGCTTTATCCATCAAACACTCTTCAAACTGTGCAGGGGGGAGAAAAATAAAAAAGACCCTGAAACTCCACACAGAGGCTGAGGGAGCTGGGGCTGTGCAGCCTGGGGAAGAAGAGGTTGTGTGGAGACCTCCCAGCACCTGCCATGGTCTGGAGGGGACACAGGGAAGCCTGAGAGGGACCCTGCACCAGGAAATGGAGGGACAGGACAAGGAATAACAGGTTCAATCTGACAGAGGGGAAATTAGAGTTTGACATTAAGGAGAAATTCTTTCCTGTGAGGGTGGGCAGGCCCTGGCACAGGGTGCCCAGAGCAGCTGTGGCTGCCCCTGGATCCCTGGCAGTGCCCAAGGCCAGGCTGGACAGGGCTGGGAGCAGCCTGGGACAGTGGGAGGTGTCCCTGCCATGGAACAAGATGAGCTTTAAGGTCCCCCTTCAAACCCAAACCATTCTATGATTCTCTAAATTAACTGAATTTAGCACTTTCAGCCTCATGGCTTTATTTACTGATGTGCCATGGCAGGGGGTAAAAGCTCCCCCAAAAGCTTTTACTCTCAGAAAATAATTTACACCCAATTATGACTGAACTTCTTTCCTGCTTAACCTCCCAGTGGTCACACA